GAATAGGCTCGAGAGGACACTTGATGTGTGTTCCTAAATAGTGATGTTTAAGCTAAATGAATAAACACACTTTCATGTCTTAATTATAAAAACAAAATATGTGTAACTCTGTGATACACACTATCATTTGAAATAAAATGAAAATCTTATTAGGTTAGAATTAAGTGGAAAATGGTTTTTGCCTCTGGGGACATTTTTATACCGAATATTTATATAATTAACCTAATATTGAGCCCTTGAGGTTAGAGATGATCTCTAACTCCAGACATATTTTTTTTAGTAAAGGTAAGGGGGTGTTGCAATTAATTTATGCACATGAGGAATTTTTCCTTTTGTTTTTCCTATTGCTTCATCCCTTCTTTTCTCCTCATATTCCTCACACGATGAGTTCATTGTCAGTCCATATAGGCTTCTAAACACCTTGACTCAGGCTAAACATATAGCAAAAACTTTGATCCTAGGTGGGGAACTAAATGGTTTTGCTAACTCAGAAAAAGACATATCTCTGAATGTCATTTCTGACCAGGGCAGGTGACACAGCCCATTCACTTGCATTGCCAAAACCAATAATCAACCACTTGGGACATACTGAAAAGCCCCTTCTGTGCTTGCAGTCACTGCTTGTATCTTACATACCAATCCATGGGCTGTTTTCCATGCAGCCATCATACATATTTTGGAGCTATTGCTTTAATGACTTACTAGGTTATTAGACAATCATAGTGCTCTATTTCAAAGATAAAAGTAATGTTATTGATCTACTTTTACAGAACATGACTTAAACAGTCTCGTGTTTGAGATCTGTGGAATAAAACAACAACAACAACAAAAAGCCAAAAACAAAAACAAAAAGCCGTTGATTAGGCATGGTAGTGCATTCCTTTAATCCCAGCACTTGGGAGGCAGAGGCAGGTGGATCTCTGAGTTTGAGGCCAGCCTGATCTACAGGGTATGTTCCAGGACAGCCAGGGCTACACAGAGAAACCCTGTCTTGAAAGAACAAACCAAAATGACCTCAATGAAATACGATTAGTCATGGCATGACAGAGAAATTCCTTGCTAGCAGTTTCCATTGGACAAATAACGAAAAAGCAATGGGCGAAACACCGCAAATAAGCACATATCAGCCAGAAAACCTGACTTTTAAAGACAGATATGCCCCTGATATATATTCGAGACCAAGACAGATTTGCTTATATCAAGTGTGTACATGTAACGCCAGCATATATTATGCAGTCCTTTGCTTGAATTGTGTGCATCTGAATGCTATGTAAACACAAAATTTTAGATATTTTATGTGCATTAAAATGAGTCTCACACCCAAAGTAGGGGGCGCTTTATTCCCATTTAAAGAGATTTCCAGATAAGACAGAAAGGGAAAAAGAGTTAATGTTGTTATTGAATTTTTCTGACCTTTATTTATTATTAAGTTTACCTGAGCTTTATTCATTATGGGGAGTCGCTTTAGCTCAGCTGGTAGAATGGGCAAGCAGAAGCCCTGATTTAGATTACCAGCTCCACACCATCCTTCACTACATAGTAAGTTTGAAACCAGGCTGGGATATGTGATATCTAAATAAGTGAATAAATAAAATGGCACACCCTCACCCTCACTTTCCCTAAGGCATTTACTGTGCAGACTCAGAGTGACACACCATCCTCCTCCTCTCTAGAACAGTGAAAGACCAGAAGCCTGCCTGGCCCCTCATTTGGATGAAAGAGGGGGGTGTTTCCTCAGATTGTCTAGGAAAGAGGGTGGCTCTCAGTGTCTCCTAATCACCCCAGCTTTGAAGAACACTGTCAATATGATGTCAGCACATGAGAACTGAAAGATAGAGAGTTCCCCACTCCTTCCCATACAAAAAAAAAAAAAAAAAAAAGAGGTAATACCTTGGAAGAAAAGCATGAAAGGAGGAAAAGAAAGGAAAGAATGCAGTCTGGGAGCTGAGACAAAGCTCTACCACCAGGTAGTGGGCCTTTTAGGACCAGCCTGGCAAGACTTTGAGCTGGGGAAGTTTCCTGTCGGCATGCTGTTCCTGGAGGACACTGGGTGGCGCTCGTGGTAAAGGCTTGCACTTCTTTAGGGTCTCCCCCCCTCACCAACGCCACCACACCACCACATATCCTTTGCAAATTTCAGCTACCCAAAGATGAAATTACATGCTCATCGGGTTGCTAGAGGAGTTTGATGCCATGGGATTGTTTTTCCGAGGTCGGGTCAATTGGGATTTGAGAAGCCATAGTGTCCCATCACTGGCCTTAGGACAAAGCCTGAGGCCTTGGTGTCAGAACTACCTCCACAACACCAGCAACAATTATGACCCTGGCAGCGAGTATCCTTTGGCATATGAGTTCAAGCGCTGACCAGACGCGCATATGGGGCTGGCAGCTCACAGACCACAGAAGTGTATTAGTGAAATGAAATGGGACTATGTCTTGTGAGCAGACTTCAAGCTGTCTGTAGTGACCCTCTCTGGGCAACATTTAAGAAAAGGTGGTAACAGAATGGAGCTCAACTCAGAAAAGCAGTCAAGAAAGTTGATACTGGTGAATTTCAAAGAGGAGGCAAAATTTGGTGATTTCACCCTGAATTGGGCTTGACACAAGGGACTCACATCTACATAAAGGCCAGTGTTTCAGCACCTTGGGTTATACGTAATTAAGGACATTGCACCCTTTTCTCATTCTCCATTCTTTTTTTGACGTTCATAAAAACATGCATGTGATGAATATTTATCTCCACTGGAAAAAAAAAGGAGGTAGTAAGTAGTTTGTAGCAAGATCTAGAATTTATCTTACCACTATAAACTTGTCTTCAACTAGATCCTGAAGTATGTCTGTAGTTTCTGGTACCAGTCTTATGGGATGTTGCCTTCTTAGAAAGCTGTGAGAGCCCTGATAGACTCATCCTGTTGATGAAGACCATCCTGACCCTATTTCCCTCCTGGTTATTACATTTAAATACCGATTAAACAGAATTGAGGTCAGTGGAGGGACCACCCGCATCTCTGTACCATTTTTATTTACCTGTAAACACTTTGACCAGCCCAAGGCATTGATTTGGAGGAGAGATTTGTACAATTAGGCTTCATGTGTCTAAGGCAACTCCATGGGCTAGGTAAGCATCCCCATAGCAGGCCAAGATCACATCCAACAAGGTTGCCTCCTTGAAGATGCTCACAGCCTAAATCTAGAACCTGGACAATGGCATAAAAATCGATTGCAGGGGACCAGGACCAAGGGACAGTGTATATTTGTTGAGCACCCCCCCCATCTGTGTCAGGGACACCAAGGCTGCAAACTCAAGATGTAGGAAACGGGTGGCCCTGCTGAATGCTAGGTCCCTCTAACTCAGAGAAGCTGAAGTTGTCCAGCCAAGGAAAGGCACAGTAGCTGTGGTTTTAAGGGACCCAGGAGGGCATGGCTGCGAGTTGATGCATATGTTGCTGCTTCCAAATGGAACTCCAGAGAGGGACTGCCGTCCTTTCTCCAGTCTCTCACAGAGGTCAAAGGCCCAGCAGCTAATGTAGCATTAGACAAAACTCAGGCAGGCTTTCACTTCTTCCACTGGCAGAAGGATGTGTGAAGCCAGAAGACCCCACCCTGAACATTCAATGGCATTCCAGGTTCCTGGCCATGCACCCCCAAGAGAAAGACAAAAGGAAGCCCAAAACAGGATACAACACAAGGAGTTGCATTTTTGAGGGGAGTGGAAACAGGACATGAGTGAGGCTTGTGCTACATTCCCAAGCCCCCCTCACTCAGTCATAACTAGAGTAAAAGCACATGACAACGAAATAAACTTCTTTTTGGTGGCCTGTTCCAAATGTATGAGTCTTGAGCCCCGCCTCCTTTTATATATAAACTAAGATGTTCACTAGGCAAGAAATAAAGGGGAAATGTACAGGAACACAAACTAGGGAATTGGGCATGGAGGCAACAGAACCAGAGAGGGTCATCAGTGGACATAATACCAACTCGTAAGAGGAATTTGTTCCCTGTCTACTTTCTGGTCTTCGCATTTCCATTTGATCTGGAGACACTATAGGACACATACCTGAATCAATTCACTTTTGCAGTAATCTGGCCACTGAACTGAGACACACTCAGTTTTAGAAGCTTCCAAGTAGATGAGAATATTGAACAAAAACAGGGCTGCTCAGCTCTTCCGGAAGACAAGTTAGGAGAGGTGAGGCAAAGTCCAGTTATTCGAGAATAAGACCTTTCGAAGACTTTAGTTGCAGGAACTCTACCACTGACAGCTAAATGGACATATGTACTCTTGAACATCTCTACGGAGTCCTGAGAAATATTCTTCCTCAGAAGTGCTTGTTACACATCAATCTGTTTCCCAATTTGCAAATTTTCAACACAACTTAGTTACCACTTGCGTCCCAGCATCCCACTAAAGCAATACTCTCCTCCATTTATTCCCACCTTCATCTAACACTCCTGTTTCTCCTTGACACCCATTCCCACATCAGTGGTCAGTTGTACAGTCTCCTTTGGGGGAGGAGGAGAGGGCAGGTAGGTGTGGAGCAAGAAAAGAGCATCATGGGTCTCATCATCTAAACGTATTCTTTGAAACTGCAGTTGGAACACATTGTCTATTTAAAAAGCACAGAGTTGGGTCCTGGGGCGTCTTGGGTTGTCTGTGCTATTCACTGAAAACAGATCGACTGAGACCATCTCTCCCTCAACAGGCAACAACGTGTATAGCCCTAGCCCCCCCCCACCTCTCTCTCTCTCTCTCTCTCTCTCTCTCTCTCTCTCTCTCTCTCTCTCACACACACACACACACACACACACACACACACACACACACACACAACCCCCGTATCACCACCACCCCCCTTCTCTTTTTTTTTAAGCAATGCTTTGTTGTGCTAAAACTAGTTGGACGAGTTAGGGTGTTGCTCTGCTCCCGAGGCCCTGGCCAATGGAACCCGATCCACCCCGCTGTGCGTAAGCGCGCAATTAAGGATTTAACCAAGGCTGTGCTGCGCCTCAGCCAGCAGTCAGCCTGCGGGAGACAGAGCCTCCACGACTCCCAGCCGCCTCCTCCCAACCGCCGCCTCCTCCTCTTCCTCCTCCTCCTCCCTCGCTCCCACAGCCATGTCTGCTTAGACCAGAGCAGCTCCACAGCCAATTCAGGCAGCAGCAGCAGCCGCCGCAGCAGAAGGACAGCTGCCGCTCGGGAGCTATGACAGGAGTGTTTGACAGAAGAGTTCCCAGCATCCGATCCGGCGACTTCCAAGCTCCGTTCCCAACGTCTGCCGCCATGCACCATCCTTCTCAGGAATCTCCAACTTTGCCCGAGTCGTCGGCCACCGATTCTGACTACTACAGTCCCGCGGGGGCCGCCCCGCACGGCTACTGCTCTCCTACCTCTGCTTCCTACGGCAAAGCGCTTAACCCCTACCAGTACCAGTACCACGGCGTGAACGGCTCGGCAGCCGGCTATCCGGCCAAAGCTTACGCCGACTACAGCTACACCAGCCCCTATCACCAGTACGGTGGCGCCTACAACCGCGTTCCAAGTGCTACCAGCCAGCCAGGTAGGCGAGCGGGGGCGGGAGGCAGGTACCCAGGGCATCGTCACCCAGCGGGTGTGAAGTGGGGTGGTAGATGAGGGCTGTGCTGGCTGCAACACTAGAAGGCACGCTCCGCAGAAGGGAGTGGGAACCCAGAACTACAAACAGGAGAGCATTTCACCAGGCAATTTGGGGGTTTGCAGTGGAGGAACCTTGGGGAGGTTTAGTCCGGGTGTTTCCCCTCCCGCGCCCCTCGGTGGTCCCTCCTTAAACTGGATTCCTAACTTGCCTAGCCAGAAAGCCAGCTAAGCTGGAAAGAGGCTGGGGGGTGGGGTGGGGGGGTGGCTGGGAAATCAAGCAACCCCAGTGGTGTTTGCGTAATAAAAGGAAAGTTAGTTGGAATTGTGGGTGAGCGTGCTGAGTTGGTGAGATCTAGTCTGGATTAGCCTGCGAAGCGCCCCGAGGCCTCGCAGCGCGGGTGCCGGCAGCACACCGGGTGGCCTGAGGGCTGCAGCCTGACAGAGAAGAGCGAGCAGGGAACTTTGCGGTTTGTCCAAGGCATTTGCAAACACAAAAAAGCCATTTAAAATAGCGGAGGGTTGCTGAGAGGTCACGTTGTTGGAGGGATCTCCCCCCACCACCCCGACCCTCCTTAGGTGCCTAGAATTTGTCTACCTCCTCCTTCCTCACCAGCTCCTTCCCCCCCCCCCCCCGTCCACCTTGAAACTTCCTCAGAGAGTTACAGTGGGGTACTGAGGCAGTAAATGAGAGGTGTGAAGTCTCGGTGGAGAAGTTCAACTGGTCGATTTTGATCTCTCCTCACCAACACATTAATAAGCCTGCTAATATTAGCTTCTCCTACTCCAGCAGAGTGGAGACCACAGTCCTCACCCTCCACCCTTCCTCTGGCAGCAGTTTCACTCACATAAGCTCTCCCACTCCTTCTGGAGGGAGGGGGGGTGGATGGGGCCATGTGGCCGAGAGGCATGCTTGCAAATCACTAGTTCAGAGAACCCCTCAGCGCTGTGCATTCATTAACAGTGAGAATTCTTCCCGACGCTCTCCCCTTTACTACGAAAATATCTTCCCTACAGATTCCTTTTCAATGTATCTTATTGAGTCTATTCCTTTCGCTGTCTCTGTATTCGTGCATAAGGGGGGGGATTTTTTTTTTTTTTGCCAAGAACATATTAAGTCTATTTGTAAAAGAAACCAGACACATCTGTGCCCTCGCAGATCTGCTGTGAGATTATGGGGGCTGCATAATCGGCTCTCTGTCTGCCGCGGGCCGCGACCGACCGCTTGCCTCTGTAGTAAAGGAACATAGTTTGCTTGTCGGTCTTTGAACTTTGGAGACCTTGGCTAGCGTCTTCCCTGCCCAAGCGTCTAGCCTCTGCGGGCGCCCGAACAGACGCCAACAGAAGCGGGGTCATGGCCCAGGGCCTCCCACTTGACGCCCTGCTAAAGGAGTGCGTATTCTCATTCCAGGGAGCCCAGGGTGAATCGGGGGGGAGGGGGTTGTCTGACAGAAAGAAGCATGGTTAAAGGGTTCCATCCTTAAAACGAAGAAGCAGTTGATTGTATACAGAGAGGTGCCTCATAGCACGCAGTAGCCATTAACTGGGGACTCCCCGGTGTGATTTGGGGAAGAGATGAGTTTTACTGAGGTTTGGAAAGTCAAGGCAGTGAGTGATACTGGGAAAGAGAGCGAAGAGTACGTTCTTAAAAGCAAACAGAGCCTCAGTGAGTTGAGGACCGGTGCAAAAGGGGCATTGTCTGCCCAGGAGCTCTAACCTAGTCTGTTTTGATTATTTAGAGAAAGAAGTGGCGGAGCCAGAGGTGAGGATGGTGAATGGTAAACCAAAGAAAGTTCGTAAACCCAGGACTATTTATTCCAGCTTTCAGCTGGCCGCATTACAGAGAAGGTTTCAGAAGACTCAGTACCTCGCCCTGCCAGAACGCGCCGAGTTGGCTGCCTCTCTAGGACTGACGCAAACACAGGTAAATCCGGCCGCCGCCGGGTACCGGACCCGCCTGGCCGGCAAGCCGGGCTAGGCCTCGTGCTTCGGTCCCGACTGGCTGGAGCCGAGTCCCTAGAACTCTGCAGACACACATAGAAATGCACTAGCCCCTGCTTCCTTCCCTCCTTGAGCCAGGCCTGCTGTTAACGACACGTGGCGGTGGGCACGGTATTCGTCGTTTGTCCCAGAGTTGCCCCCTCTCTTTTAACCACCAAGGTCTGGACCAATGTTCCAGAGTGAAAACAAGGGAGAGGTTTTGTGAGGGGGGAACCTCTCTCGCACGCGCGCTTTCTAAAGAAATGTATGAGAATCTTCCAGGCGTACGGGCCTGGCGGTGGTCTCGGGCCATGCAAAGACGCGGATCTTAATGTCCGGGTCGTGTCCTATTCCTGAGGCAGCTGGAAGCAGCCTGAGGGTCGCGAGGTGGGGGGCGCTGTTGTACGGGGAAACCCTCCTGGATTGCCTGCCCCCCCCCTTTTCCCTCCCACTCCAACCGGCTGGGGCCTAGAATAAGGAATGTTCAAGTCGCCGCCCAGAGCTTCAGGCAGAGTCTGGCTTCCCAGTGCCGAGGGGAGTGAAGGAGTAGGGCAAGAGATTGGGAAATCGCTCTTTTCCCTCTGAGCTTTCAGTCTAGCCCACACCCCTTCCCTCCTGGGGCCCTAGCCTTCGAGTAGAAGAGAGTGGCTTTCCACGATGGACTGGTGCACAGGCCCACACGAGCCCTCAGGTCCAGAGAGAATAAAAGACAAAGCCTGTTGGGGTCGCATCCTAGCTTAAACCGGGTGCTGCCTGTGATGGTCAGGGCTCCCTCTGCAGCACCTTGGCGATAGGCCGACAGCTGCTGGGAGATACCGGGACCGGGTGGTCTAGGGACCCTAAAAACCCTGATTCACCTCCCAGGGGAAGGCGCGGGCAACCTCTGAGTGTCCCGGTAACTTGTGCCTTTGTTCCCCCACCCAGGTGAAAATCTGGTTTCAGAACAAAAGATCCAAGATCAAGAAGATCATGAAAAACGGGGAGATGCCCCCGGAGCACAGTCCCAGCTCCAGCGACCCTATGGCGTGTAACTCGCCACAGTCACCAGCGGTGTGGGAGCCCCAGGGCTCTTCCCGCTCTCTCAGCCACCACCCTCATGCCCACCCTCCGACCTCCAACCAGTCCCCCGCGTCCAGCTACCTGGAGAACTCGGCTTCCTGGTACCCAAGCACAGCCAGCTCAATCAATTCCCATCTGCCGCCGCCGGGCTCCTTGCAGCACCCGCTGGCCCTGGCCTCCGGGACGCTCTATTAAATGGGCTGCTGGCTCTCTGTCTTGCTCAGTTTTGGGACTACAGTGTTTTGCTGTTTTAGAAATCAGAAAGGAAGGAATTCATACGGGGATGTTTGGAAAATGGAAACAACAAAAAAGTCATGTGTAAAGCTTTTTTTTTTTTGCATGTAAGTTATTGCATTTCAAAGGACCCCTCCCCCTTTTTTACTGAAAAAAAAAACTTTTTTTTTTTTTTGCGCAACTGTGGACACTATCAATGGTGCCTTGAAATCTATGACCTCAACTTTTCAAAAGACTTTTTTCAATGTTATCTTAACCGTGTAAATAAGTGTAGATAGAGGAATTAAACTGTATATTCTGGATAAATAAAATTATTTCGACCATGAAAACTGTTCCTCTTTGGCCCCTCGATAACTGGCTAGTGAAGTTCTATGCAGGCAATTAAGGACAAATTTTTCAGAAATCTAACAATGCAAAGCAGAAGTCAGGATCTGAATGAGGCAGCTATGTGTTTGTGCTGGCCGCTGTGTTCTATGTATCTTTCTTCACATGTGGTCTTTTTATAATGCTGTCATGTTTAGGGTGTTTGGGTTTTGTTTTGTTTTTTTCCTAACCACAAAACCATTTGAACGATATTGTTTCGGGGAAAGGAATATTGAAATCTAAATACATTTCTACAACCTTGTAGGTGAGTAAGAAGGCAACAGAAATCCCTCAATAACCCATAATTCTAAGTACAAACTGGTTCTGGTGGGAACCCCTCCCCCATCAACATGTATGTATGGCAATTAGATAAAGTATGATCCTTTTGAAAAAGAGCATCTCAAGATGAGGAAGGAAAAAAAAAAGCAAATCTGCTTTCATTCCTATTATATTTTTCAAAAATCTGAAATGTTGGGGCACAGCAAGTGTTAGCTTTTGCCTTGAAGTTCTAATGTGAATGACTATATATGAATGACTATAAATTTGGCCAGGTTCTTTCAGGCAAGAAAATGCCTTAGGGACTGAGAACAATGGTGAGCCTAAGGCTCAAGGCCAAACAAGGAATATGGGGGTAGGGAGTATTCCTTGTCCAAAAAAAAAAAAAAAAAAAAAAAAAGAGGGAAGGGGGGAGGGGTGCCATTGCCATTTGAGGCCCTATATTGATTTCATTTTGTGTGAGATGATGTTCTTAATATAATTGTCTTTCACTATCAGCTGTATTTTGTGGCTCTTTCAGGAGGAGCTCCTGCTCTACTTTTACATAAAACACTGGCAGCCATAGTAGGATATGGGGCATTCACTGGGAATCCTTTCTGAAGATGAAGCCATCTTTAAGGCAGGGGTGTAGGAGTTGCAGCCACCTGGCCCCTAACTTGCCCTTCCCTTACAACTCTTCGTGTAGATGTTTAGGCTGTACCCAGAGCTATAGCCTGGGTCCAGAGCTGTGCCCTCGGGCCTATATTATAGGCGTCTTTGTGGCTACATGTCCTTTAGTCCACATAAATCTATTTCCTTATGACACCAAAGGAACACACAATGTTGGAAATTACTAGATTTATGGAAAATATTCCACAGATAGGAAGCCACAATAAATGTGACAAAAGAGCCCTCTTGGTGAGGGGGAGATTAGAACATAAAAAATTACACCCTGTCATCTGAGGATTTCAGAGAGGACCCTGCCAGCAGTGAGAACCAAAGAGTCAAGCTGTGTGCCCTTGGGCCATTTATGGAGTCAGCCAGTCTCCCAGTCTCTCCCCTCCCTCCCTCCTTCCCTTCCTCCCTTCCTTCCTTCCTTCTTTCCTTCTTTCCTTTCTTCCTTCCTTCCCACCAAACTTCTATCTCCATTTTTTCCCCTTTTCTTTTATTTTCTTTCCACAAGTGACATCAAGCCCACCAGTTTGGGACTCATTGGGCCTTGGTGTTGGCTGTCAGTTCACATTGGGCAGCCTGGGCTATTGAACCCTGCCTAAACAGCGTCCTCATCTTTGTTGGGTGATGATGGTGTTAGGAGAAGCCCCCGGCCCCATTTTGTTTTCTGCAGTGGCAGAGTAGAATGGGTGAAGAGATGAAGGTGTCTATTTTCTGCTGTTCTTTCTTTGCTTGCTTCGGCAGTTTCCATTACATTAAAACCCCGATCTTTCTGAAGGCTTGGTCTTGATTTCCAGGACTTGGCTTTTGGATGGCCACAGGCCTGTCCTCACCCCAGGGTGTGTGTTTGGGAAGGTTGGCAGGGGCGCGCCCACCGCACACCCCCAATATATCCCGTCCACTGGTTTCCCAAGAGTGTAAAAAATGTGCTTGGAACACGCTCTTTCCATTTTGACACTCCGAGAGGGTGGATGTCATCTCTCTGCTCCAGGAAAGGGGTGTGTGTGGTTTCTTCACTACCTCCGACCCCCGGACTCAGCCAAGCGGAGGGAAGGGCGGATCCAGACTTTTCTCAGGAAATAAAAGGGGGTGCTCTTTAATCACCGCCCTTCACCCCAAGCTGAGGCATTGCTAGTTGTTAAGGACACTAAAGCCTGTTTGCTTGGGGCCAAGCCTAGCGCAGCGGTAGCAACGGCAGCGGGGAGGGGGTGTTGGGGGGGGGATTGCTTTCAGGATTCCTCCCCTTGTGTGAGCCTCACTTGCTCACTGGTAGTGGTCTCTTGTCTTGCGCCATTTTTTTTTTTTTTTTTAACTTGGTTGGGGAGCAGTGAACAAAAATATTCTGGCAAGTGAGTCGCAACGGGCTTTCCTGGCACCACGGGGATTCTCCCCGGGGAGTTTAACTCCCTGCAGTCCTGCGCCCAAGGATGTAAAAATAACAGATCCTCAGCAAAGTCTAAAAATATCTGTTTCTCTTGCCCTCCCTCCCACCTTTCTCTGCTCTCCATTGTTTCTCTCTGTATCTAACATGCACATACCATTCCTCACAAGGTTTTGGCGCTGGAAGACCCCACTCTCCCTGGACTTCAAACTAGGAGTCGTTGTGCCTGCCCATTCTGATTCTCACTTGCCTAGTTCGCTGTCTAACGCCCCAATTATAAATCAAGCAAACTTTGGAATTAATTTCCTTTACAGTGGACTACTTTCAGTCTCCATCTTCAGACCTCCTTGCAAAGCCCAAGAGACCCAGGGCATGTTGGCAGGGCTTGGGGAAATTTTTTCTTTCTTTCGTTTTTTTTCCCCCGGTGCCCTACCCGCCTTCCTTCTGTAGAAGATCAGATAAATTGGCCTTTGTTTGAGACTTGGGTTGGGTTAGGCGGGTTTCTACTCCCTTTCTCCCCCTTTTTCCTGGCGGCCACCTCCTTGTGGGACAAGAGGCAGCCTGGGGATCGGAGGGAAGCTGCATTCCTGTGGGTGCCAGGCGGCTCCAGTGCTGAGAGCCACAGGGCCTGAGACACACACTGAAGAACCCACAGACCTCGCTGCCCTTGATCTCACTCTCTTGCTTGCTCTGTCCCTCGCATCGTGCATCTACCCGGGAGCCAGTCCACTGCCTCTCGGATCCACCCAAGATTCGGCCTCGCATAGGAGAGCTTTGACCCACACAAAGATGTACAAGCATCCCCTCCCAGTGACGTGGGCCGGAACAGCATCTCTCCGCCTAAGGAAAACCTTCTTTTTCCCGCCCCTAGTACGACAACCCAAGGCGAGCCGGCTAGCTAGCTACCCGTGGCTCCTTTGATCGCCCGGGTCGCCCAGTGGCTCGTCGTGTCCCGGCTGTGCGGTTCAGAGTTACCCACAGCGCGCCTAGGCCGGACTTTATAGCTCTAAACCGCATCCACACAGTTCAGTATCTAGCACTCTCCTGCGTGAATTGCCCTGGAAGTCTGCTGTAAACTGCTCTGCATCTTTCTCTGCTCCTCGCTTCCTGTTGTTCCCAAAGAGGGACCTCCAGGGCTACCCAGCCACCCCCTCCCGGCCCCCTCCCCCACCTCCCGGTTCCAGCGCCTCCCACTGGCCGTTGGGTTCTAGCCAACCTTAAACTCTCTAGCCCTCAGGGAAGGCACACCCTGAGGGCAGTAGCTCAGAGACACAGCTGGGAAGTGCGCCACCCTCGAGGATCAGCCTGCGGTCACCCAGCTCCCCCCACTCTCAAGCATCCCCACCCGAACGGCTGGGTGAAAACTTCCACTGCCCAGATCTTGGGGAGGGGGCTTTTCGGATCGCTTCTGCCCCCTCAGAATCCCCTCCCGCTGCTCCCTGCTTCCCAGGTTGTCAGTAGACCTTGTGTATTTTCGACCCAAACCCAGTCCAAACGAAATTTGGACCCCAAAAATAGCCCCAATCGTGGTGGTACAAGTGGTTCTGGTTAAATCTCTTCTACACAGCTTATACCGACGACTGGCATCTCTGGTGTTTTCTTTTGCCTCTGACTGGCTTTAGATTTCTTAGCCGTGGGAGGCAGAAAGTATACAATGTATCTACTACCCGAGGTATGAGAAATTGAGCTGTGCTTGAGCCTTCCCTTTCAGTCACCAAGAGCTGCCCATTGCAATGTAATAACCTGCTTTATACTTTAAGTTTGTACCTTAAAGATAGAAACAGGGAATTCACATGACTCCCTGTTTAAAAGGACTGAAGAGCCTTTATTTATTTATTTATTTATTTATTTATTTATTTTATTTATTTTTACAGCAATTAAATGTTTCTGAGCCGTTGTTCGCTTGGGGTTCGGAAGGGATCTCTTTGCCAAAAGCACAAGTATTATTGAGTCTGTTTCACATCCTAAACCATGATTTATATAAAACTGTGAAATACCACACATTGAGAGCGACCTTTCACCACAGGAAGGGGGGGACCTTCATTACCCGCGCGTACACACACACACACACACACACACACACACACACACAGGCTCCTGGTTTCAGTAACAATTCTCTGTGGAATCCACCAAACACAGTCTGCTGTCTTTTTTTTTTTTTTTTTTTTTTTTAAGAAGTGGGTGGGAGTGAAGGATGGTAAACAGTTCCCAAGCTATGATTTAAAGCATTTTTTTTTTTCTTGAAAGGCATGAATACAGAAACTGCCACTGGATGCTTATTGTCATCCTAATACTATTTTTGCCACTTGCCACTTTGC